GCATAAACATTTCAGGATGAACCAGTGATTATAAAGCATATGATAATTACTTACACTTATTATTCATTATAGAATCCTAATGATCCATGAATATTTCTATAAAATACTGAATGAATTATGAGTTTGCATAATTGTGCTGTAAGCTAAATATGATGCACAATTAATATGTTTATGATGCATTATAGATCTTTATAGATCTGAGCATCATTGAAAGTGTTACTGATTTCACTCCAGCGATTACGTATTGTACTCTGGGGAGCAATAGGAGACAGATTTAGAAAAAGGGAAAGGTCACAATCCAAGGTCTTTATAGGTTTAACTCCTAAAACACAAGATTCTACCTCCCATGATGCAACTCATAAGGGTGTTTCATAAGACAACCTATTGATGTCAAAAGGGATATTTTTTCCAACTTGAAAAGCTTCTTCCATGGCTGGAAAATGTATCATGTGAGCACAAATTAGGTAGTGTCCCTCATTACGTGGTAGTTCAACAGCTTGTCTGAAAGTCTGAGTTCTCCTTTACTGTTGAAGTCATACAAAATGCCTTTTTTAAACACCGTCACATCTGGTTCTACTCACACTTTCTGTTTAATCAGAGGCTTGGTACAATAATGTGTTTACATACAATCATTGCATGTGGATATTATCTGTTGCTTGTCAAAGCATGAAGTGAACCTCTTCTGATACTGCTTTGTCCATAATACAACCCACTAGAGTTGCGTTAAAAGGGACATTTACGTAATTATGTTGCTATTCCATTCATCAATTGAAACATTACATTGTATTCAATGATTCCTAGCAACACTACCATCGCAAACATCTGATAATCACACTTACATTCGGACATCAACAGTTATAGTTGCTATTTCAACTGATGTCAACTGGCTAGAGTGCGATTTCACATCATTTGTGTTCATGCCAACACCACACATTGATGTGATTGCCTTCCAGGTATCGGCTACCTTTTGCCTGAATATAGCCTGACCAATGCCCAAGTTCACTGTGGTGCCGGATATGTATATCGTGGAGACTGTTAGATGTATCCAAGCACTGAAGTAAAAATGCAGGGATAAGTTGTAGGTGAAAGAATAAAGGAAAGTGAAAGTGGCAAAGAGTAAAAAAAGGACTCCTTGAATGATTCCAGTGATGGTGACCCTTATCTGACTTTTCATTTTCATAGTGGCGGAGTAGATGTTGCCCTGTGTCACTGTTTTTATGTTTCTATGCAAGTAGTGGGCCGTGGAAAAGCTAGAAACCGAGATAATACACAGATATAACAGGGTATGCACTTGTACAATGATGACACAAACATTGACTGCCTGGAGAAGTCCATCATTCCAATATTCAGTCAATGTACCGTTGACACGAGTTATGGTGTGAATAAATGTATCTGCTGTAGAAATGACACTATAAAACAAGAAAATGATCCCGTCAAAAAGCAAAACCATGTACATGAGAATCTTAATGTTCCTCTTTACCCAGATCAGAAAAGCTCGCTGTAGAGGGACAATCTGGATATAGTAGTAAAAGTTCAGCAAAACCGAACATGCCATGCTATTTCTCATATAGCACTCCACAAACCCACACACCACGATAAACACTTCAACATGATTCTCTATATGTAAGACACAATACAGAAGGGCCATAGAGATACAATAAGTAATAGAGCACCAGACAAGGACTACCAGAAGCATCTTTAAAGGCTGCTTGAGTCTTTGTGTTTTGCAGAAGATCAAGCAAGATGCATAGAAGATGTTCGCCGTGAGGCTGATGAGGATGAGAGGAACATTGATTAAAAGAAAAGCCTGCTCACCCAAACCAATGATTTGACGGTCCATTGCTGGTTTAGAAAGGTCAACAAATCAAAGGAAGTTGTGCCTCTGTGTTTCTGTTCAGTTCTAGGGAGCCTTGCACTGTTGAGACCAACATGGAACATGGATCATAAATGCTACATTATGTAAACAGTTTTGAATCACAGCAGTAGCACGCACATTTTCATATTTCAGCACTCAAAGGACCATTTCCATGTTTTTGCATGTTCTAGTCTATTTGCTACACATCACATAAAGAGTATATCACTGTTGTTTTCTATATTATTTGAACGTGTTTTCTCACATTCCTACATTCAATGATTCCTGTCTAGTGAGTAAACACCACATCTGCATTAATAATCATTGTGCATTAATGCAGAGCAGATTTTTTCACGATAATCTGCAGTGCATTACCAGGCAGCAACGCGGCAGATATGATTGTTTACTGTCATGGATCACCTACCTCACGCACGTTTCAAGCGTCTGCAAATTGTTTTCCACAGTGAAGTAAATGAGAATCAGTGGCTGTCTGGGAGGCACATCAAAACACATTAAACAGTCAAAACAGCAGAAATGCAATGTGTGAGTTGAAGTAAATGAGCTAAAACATGCAAAAACACTGAAATGGTCACACAATAACACTATGGGACACATTTCACTTCCACACACACACACTTCCACACACATACACACACACCTGCATTCACACCTGTATGCCACCCTGAATGCTGATGGTCAAATGGGTGCTAGGTAGCATTCTGACCGTGAGAGAAACCCATTATAACGCATCATAATTATCATTAGAAGAGATGGCCATTCTGTGTGTGTGTGTGTGTGTGTGTGTGTGTGTGTGTGTGTGTGAATATGAACATTTTCCAAAATGTTAAACTATGCATTCGAAATACTAAAATGGGAGGCGTGTGGCACAGTGGATTGAGCCTTGGTGTTGGTAACAGGTTCAAACCCCACTGCAGTCAGCATGTCATTGTGTCCCTGGGCAAGACACTTCACCCCAAAGTGCTCCTGTGGGGATTGTCCACAGTATTGAGTATGTAAGTCGCTTTGGATAAAAGCGTCTAACAACAAGTAACATGTAATGTGATGGCACATATGACAATGAACCCTTTCTTGGTGTCCATTGTTTTATGTTAAAAACTACACTGGTGAAACGTGTGCATATATAAAGATTTTTTTTTCGGTTAGATAGTTAAGGTTTTCAGTGAACATACCTTGTTTGGGACAGTTGCAAAATGTCTTCCATGCAAGTCTTGCTCTTGTTAAGAAGCATGCACAAACTCTGAGGTCCACACAGCAACATACACATTCTGACATACAGACCCCTTGAACAAGAACATTGCATGTGACTAAACATTTTTTTAGTGCACCTCAAGAAATATTTCCTTGTAGCCTAAGCAGCATTCATTATCAGTATTTTGCCATGACTATACAGCATCACAAATATAAAGATACCAGAGAAACAACAAATATTGTTGAAAAATGCAATTTTATTTCAGTAAGTATTTTTAAGAAGACACCATACAGCAGATATTTTTGATGGTGATTTATCTAGGACCCATGGGTTCTAGATAAATCACACATCTTTTTTAATAAGAAATGTCTATAATAATTGTAATGGTAGATTTTTTTTGTACTGATATAACTTGTATTGTACATTTGTATTATTGCTTCTTATGTTACAGTATAGACTCTAACCAATAACCTGCATGAAATGTCTTCTAAAAGAAAAAGGGCCATGGGGCTGAGTCCGACCCCAGTATGCAACATTGTTAAAGTATCCAAATGCAGTGGTGAGCCATGCGTTGCTAGCTAATGGCCATACATCACGCTACAGGAAACCAACTTCAATGGACCATGAGTTGAGTACATGTAAAACACTTTTTCCACAAATAAAGAAATATTCACATACACACATCTTTGTGCAAATCAGGGCACAAAGACACATATGTTTTATTATTTTATGTATTCATCATCAGTCTTTTGCCATGACTATACAGCATCACAAATAAAAAGATACCAGAGAAACAACAAATATTGTTGAAAAATGCAATTTTATTTCAGTAAGTATTTTTAAGAAGACACCATACAGCAGATATTTTTGGTTTTATTTTGAGTCAAATGTTTCCAGGGTATGTTGCGACTATCCAAGACTAATGCTCTTGGACTTATTTATTTTCATAATTTTTCTTCTCTTGTATTGCTCTCTGAGTTTGCACTCGTTTCAACATGGGTCCTAGATAAATCACCCATCTTTTTTAATAGGAAATGTGCAGAATAATTTTAATGGTAGTTTTTTTTGTACTGATATAACTTATTATTTGTATTATTGCTTCTTATGTTACAGTGTAGACTCTAACCAATAACCTGCATGCAATGTCTAATTAACCCTTGTTATTTGGGTCTGTGGGACCCATTTTCATTATTTAGCTAAAGAAAAATCATGTGATAAATAAAAAATGTCAAACCCACACTCAATGGCCTTGGCTCATTTTCTGTGAAGAACATATATCAGAACACATTTACAATGACCACCCACTGTACCCCCCCCCCCCCCCCCCCTACACATTTACATTACATACAGGGTGTTTGGGGTCCACTGGGGCTAACAAAAGTGTGGAAATTGTAGGTCCTGTGCACCTGTCTGGGCCTTCTGTGTGTGTGTGTGTGTGTGTGTGTGAGACTTTTGTGTTTCTGCCCCTGCTATTCCGCACAAGGTTGCATCATTGTTGATCAATTCAAGCATGGACAGCTGACTGCTCTCACATTCCTGCATTATGTTTTGCGGGAACCAATCTTTATTTTTGTCACACTCTATCCAAGCTGCAAATTTGGGGCAAAACACAATAAATAAAGCTTTGCCAGTTTGACCCCAGAATGCAACATTGTTAAAGTATCCAAATGCAGTGGTGAGCCACACGTTGCTAGCTAATGGCCATACATCACGCTACAGGAAACCAACTTCAATGGACCATGAGTACATGTAAAACACTTTTTACACAAATAAAGAAATATTCATTAACACTTAAAGAACAAATGTAATGTTTGAACAATTTAAATCTATATGAATTAAATGGAAAACTGTTAAAGAAAAACCCAAACAGTGTTAATAAAAAAAATGTAAGTATTTGAAATACCTGGAAAAAATATTCCTTCGAATGGAGTCAGAAAGTGTTGTGCAATTTTTTTATTTAAATAAGAAACGTCTGACTAAAACGCCAGAATCAACAGATCATATATAAACACAAAGAAGGTAAACAGTCACATAAAAATATACATGTCAGAAACGGCAAACTAATGATGATACTATTTACAATCTTTACAGTGAAACACTCATTAACAGTTATAATCCTTCTGGTATACAGTTAATTACTTGTCACACACACACACACACACACACACACACACACACACACACACACACACACCACACACACACACACACACACACACACACACACACACACACACACACACTACCCCTCTCCGGTCTGTCAGTGTGTATATGGGATGTCCATTGTGCTACATGTCAGGGACTTGGACATAGAGGGAATAAATAAACATTGGCATCAGAATTCAGTCATTCCTCAGTTTCTATTGGCATTAAACCAACCTTTGTGCATACTTCAGTGGTTGTATATGGTCTTGTTCAATCAATACTTAATGGAATCATTAAAGAAATACTTTTGAATCACAGCAGTAGCACGCACATTTTTATATTTCAGCACTCAAAGGACTATTTCCATGTTTTTGCATGTTCTAGTCTACATATCACATAAAGAGTATATCACTGTTGTTTTCTATATTATTTGAACGTGTTTTCCCACATTCCTACATTCAATGATTCCTGTCTAGTGAGTAAACACCACATCTGCATTAATAATCATTGTGCATTAATGCAGAGCAGATTTTTTCACGATAATCTGCAGTGCATTACCAGGCAGCAACGCGGCAGATATGATTGTTTACTGTCATGGATCACCTACCTCACGCACGTTTCAAGCGTCTGCAAATTGTTTTCCACAGTGAAGTAAATGAGAATCAGTGGCTGTCTGGGAGGCACATCAAAACACATTAAACAGTCTTTAACAAAACAGCAGAAACGCAATGTGTGAGTTGAAGTAAATGAGCTAAAACATGCAAAAACACTGAAATGGTCACACAATAACACTATGGGACACATTTCACTTCCACACACACACACACACACACACCACACACACACACACACACACACACACACACACACACACACACTTACACCTGCATTCACACCTGTATGCCACCCTGAATGCTGATGGTCAAATGGGTGCTAGGTAGCATTCTGACCGTGAGAGAAACCCATTATAACGCATCATAATTATCAGTAGAAGAGATGGCCATTCTATGGGTGTGTGTGTGTGTGTGTGTGTGTGTGTGTGTGTGTGTGTGTGTGTGTGTGTGTGTGTGTGTGTGTGTGTGTGATCAAGGTGGGGCAGTTAGAAGTAGTCTCTTCTTCGTGAATCTTCACTGATGAAGGACGGGTTCCACTGGGCGGGGTAGATGCACGAATGGCGGGACCCCGGCAGGCCTGTAAACGGGTACAGGCCGTTTCTCTCCAGGTCTGAGTTACGTAGCGCAGGCTGGGGAAAAGAGCACAGAAAGGAACAATAATGTTTGAGATGTTTGTTTTTGACTTATATAGTGATTTATCAGTGGTATTCAAACACAAAAATCAAAGCCTTAACTTGAACAATGAAGACGAATGAAGGTGTGTGAGATAGAAATGAGTAGTGTTGTATGTCCACTTACAGAGTAGTAAATGTCAGCCATCTGAAGCAGGTTCTTGGTGCTGCCGTTCTCTTGCATCTCGATGTTCTCCCTGCCCCACTCTGTGGATATGCGGTTATTTTTGGGGAAGTCCGCATACGGGGACATCTGCATGTCGCCACTCTTGAAGATGATCTTGTTTATGTCGTTCTTGTCTTTCCTTGGAGATCAAACGTGTTTATAAAAGTGAAACCTTTGCCACATTTCATCAAGATGATTCACTTCATCAAATCATTGAAAGGCAAGACATGTGTGTTTTGGTCATTTGGGTGAACTGATGCTTAAACGATCACTTGTTTTTTAATCTGCATCTTGAAAATACAGTAGAGAAAGGCAGATTAGTGTGTACAAAAACTAAATAATCTAATAGAAAATGTCAGTTTAGGAATAAAAAAGACAAATTGAATGCAAACCAAAACACATTTCTGTGCTAAATGAATAACAGCAACTCACTTGCAACAGACGACAATGAGAGCGATGATGAGGATGAGGAGCATAGCGCCCCCTGCAGGCGACACCACGATTGCAATCAGCTTGTAAACTGAAATATGAAATCACTACATTTGAATGCTTATATGATTAAATCAAATGTGCCATTTGTTTACAAAGGCATCCTCTATTAAAGCTGAGTTTAAAAGCCACTTACAATTCCCACAGTTGAATCCTCCAAATCCGAACATGCACCTGTAAAGTAGACCCAGAGTCTGCAGTGAGATTTGGATTTGAATCATACAGAATAAGTTATCAGTGCTGAAAGGAACAAATAAATCAACTTACGGAACACAGGTGTCATTTTCCAGCTTGTAGCCATCCCCACATTCTGAAACAGACATGTTTTGTTGAAAAGAAGCTCTTCACTTTTTTTTCTTCTTCTTATATCCCTCTTGCTTTTCTTTTAGCATTATCCTTTTTGTCCACCTCATTGTTATTTACTTTAACTCTTCTTTCTTGCCTGTAACTTATTTGTGCCTTTTTAACGTTTTGTAAATCAATAACATATATGTTTCTACTTATTTCATCACAAGTCAAAGTCAACTTTATTGTCAATCTTTCAGTTTGTGTGTACAGTCAGAGAGATCGAAATTACGTTTCCAACAATCCCAAATACAAAAATACAAATATATATAAAAATATGTATACAAATATGTATACCCTATATATAAACACAATCAACAGACACATGTATACATATGCACACATTAAGACATAAATAAAAGCACAACAATCAATATATACAAAATAACAGTCACTTCAATATCTTGGGAAATGTACATTAGTGCAAGATTGTCCATAGCAGTGTAAAAAGTGTCTGGTGTTGGATTTGAGTGTCTGGGAGGTGTTAAAGTCCAGTGGGGGCAGGGGGAGAGGGGGGAGAGTGGTGAGAGAGTACAGCCTCCTGACAGCCTGGTGAAAAAAAACCCTCCAAATTGTCTACACGTGTATGCAGAAACGTGTGAATAAAGCATAAACAATAGTAAAATAAAAATGCGCACTCAGCTCACCTAAGCAGGACAGGTCGTCGGGGGTGTGTTTGTAGTATCCGTGGAGACACTGGCAGCTGGCCGTGCCGCTGCTGTCCGTGCAGGAGGAGCGCTCTGCGTCACACTCAGTCTTCTGGGCCACACACAGACTTTCCACTGGAACACAGAGTGGACACAACTAATCATGACTTCTGCAACAACACAGGAATCTGCTCTCCGTCTCTCACACCAGGATGTCAGAAAACACCAAACCAGCCTCCTTGTTTCCCTCAGAATATCTTAACCCACAGTTCTGATTCACAACAACCAGACAACATTCACAGTGTTGTTATATTATCATGGTATTACATGCTTGTATTCGCTGTTACTGTATGATTTCCTGTAGTAAAGCGTAGTGAAATATAGATTAGATTAGATTCCTTTATTGTCACTACACACAGCAAAATTCCAAGTAATCCCGATGGTGCAATCACACATAACAGACAGTATAAGTATTATTTTCACAATACAAGCTAAAACTTTTAATATATAAAGTGACTTTAAATTGGACCTATGATACATTGAACAGTACGCTTACAAAACAATACAACATTACCATACAAATACAACGTTTCTGAGTGATGTAATGATGTAACTTCAGCAACTGTGTACAGCTTTATTATGCCCTCTAGTGGCTGTAAACAAACTCATAGCTACTTATGGTAGAGAAACCAGTTATAATTGTCTATGAAGTTTACCATGATAAGTGAGCTGGTGGTGCAGCACCATGCGGCAGTGGGCCAGAGAGGAGCTGCAGTTGCGTAGATACATCTGGATGCTGTTGTAAACCTCCGCGCTCGTCACATCGGCGGAAATGGAAAACATGTTGGCAGCTGAGATATGAACCCCGTCCTCCTCTCTGTGGGGGGGAAAGGTCAGAGGTCAAAACAGAGGTGGCAAAAAACGTCCATGTTGCATCGTTCAGTCAAAACAATAAGAATGTTTTGTCTTCCTTAGTTTTTCTTCCAATCCAGGCCTATAAATGTTAATGTTTTCATCTTTTTCATCTTGTGATTTTAGAAATTACAGAAAAAGTACAAGAATAACACGTTCAACTACGGCAAGGACTTACTTCTTAGTCAGCGTTGAGCGGCTGTAACCTCGTAGGACTGACAACGAAGCATTGAGCTGAGGAGGAAAACAGGAAGAGAGTGAGTAGCAGGTACAGTACACATAGGCCTAATGGAGATGTTATCAGAAAGAGCAGGGACACAGCGTGATGTGGACGGCCTCTCACCAGCTGGATGATCTCTCTCTGGATCTCATGCATGGTGGCGCTCTTGAAGATAAGAGGGTCACGTGGCAGCCTGTTGACGCTGAATGTGCCCAGAAACGTCTTTGCTACGGAGGGAAAAATACTGTTGGCTCTAGGGGAAACAACTTGTGCATTATCTTTATATTCTCAAAATAGTTAGCAACTATATTGAATGTTTTTATTTATATATTCCACCGTGCAATATTGACTTATGAGTACAAAAACTGTTTGCAAGTATTCAACTTGGCAATACTCCGGCATTGACACTGTATTTACCTATTCAAACTTAGCATATAAAAACATTCTTATTTACACTTATTTATATTGAAGTGTACACTTTTCCACAATTGTATCTACAATCTTTTTCTATACATTGAGGTATAATGCACATATTTTTACACGGTTGGTTCTATTTTTTTGTATAAGTTATCTATTTTTTTTCCCTAGAATGTGAGCAACTATAATGTACCATATTTGTTCGTAGGGCTGTGATTCTGTTATGTATTAGAGGGTTGTACCTCTGGTGCAGGTGCGCCCGTCCTCCAGGTCGAAGCCGAGCGGACACTCGCAGCTGAAGGACCCTCTGGTGTTCACACATCTGGAGCCGACGGGGCAGGGGTCCCTCTCACACTCATCCACATCTGGAAACACACGCACATGGACATATTACAAAACCATTTCTGTAAGGGTTCTCACTGAAACCTTGACACGTATCATAATCCTCTGACTGCATTATACTGTATAGATAAAGAGCATTTTCATTATGCTTTTCTGGATATTTCATGCTTGCTTAAATTGAAACACAGCAGTTAAAGTGCATGCTGCTGATTGTGTTGTGAGTAAGGAGAGAGCAGCTCACCCTGGTTGCAGGTCAGTCCAGTCCATGCCTGCTGACAGTGGCAGGTGAACTGATGCCCTAAATAGCTCACACACATCCCTCCGTTCATACAAGGGTTTGACACACAAGGGTTTCCTGCAGTTCAGAGAGAACACAAAAGCCATTATTAAAATAGTTCAAAACAGTGTAATCATTTGACACGTACAGTTGTTTCATACTGATATTCTTTAGGGCTCATCAATCTCTTTTTATATAGATACTTTTCTATTTCTGCGATAGGTTTCCTTCTTTGCATTGTTACTCAGTTTTCCAAACATATAATTAAGTAGAGACATCACTGCGGTACTATCAGCATCAAAGTCACTTTAAAGTCGAGGATTTCGAAATGCATCAACGAAAAGAAAGCACCTTCTTCAGACATTAGAGAACAGATCTGCAGTCATTTGAACAAACTAAACTGCCTTTGAATCTACCTCTAATCGCTCTGTCGTAAAGTATTACACCAAACCCTATGCAGGACATCAACATCTAAAATAACGTCTTAACATTATCTTTAATGTTTAATGCTTTTTTGATGTCATTTCTTTTACATTCTACGTATGAGATGAGGCTTTTGAATGCCGCTTTGAATTCATACTTTATGATGTTATGATGAACATGGTGTTGTTAATAGCCGTTTGACTGCCTCTTTATTACAGTTGCTTGCCTCACTCTGTGTGGCAAGTGGGAGAGAAAACTGTTTTTTGATGTTGTTTTGAAAACATCAAATGCCAACAAATACAAAAACTATTTCAATATAAAAACATGTCAGTTTTGGAAATGATGTGTCGTTACAGTATGTTTTTTGTAATTCTTCTTTAAAGCACATTTGAATGATATAAGTGTTAAATTATTTTATCTACTCTGCAAATATAATGTTTAAAAACAATGGATACACATGCAAGAAAATATAATCTGGGACACATCGTGTGTGGAAACGACATGTCAAAGTTGGTCATCTGGAAATTAAGTAAGTACAAAACACTGACTTGGTGGTGTTGGTGGTGTTGGTGCCTTGGTGGGTGAAGTGGTCCCCACCAGCTGTGTTGTTCCCCCTTCTGTCTGTTCCTTCCCGGGGGTCTGCAGAGCCTCTGTACTCTTAGTGGGGGTGTTGGTGGTGTAGGTGGTGGTTATGTGGCTTTGAGTCGTGGTGATTCCCGGCGTGCTGGTGCTGGTTTCCATCTGCAGGGTGGTGGCGCTTGTGGGGTTGTCCATCCCAGTTGAGGGCCCCTGGGTTTGGCTGGGGGACACCCGGTGAGTCGGGTAAGCTGCAGAGGTCAGCAGGGCCAGGGTGGAGGAGGTGGTGAAGGGGGTAGTGGAGGGGGTAGTGGAGGGGGTAGTGTACGGGACGGTGGCCTCGGGGGGCGAGTCTGTGGTAGAGCTGATGGCGGTGCTGCTGAACCCAGAGGATGAGGTTGGAGCTAGAGGAGTGGAGGTGGTGGTGGTCGAGGAGGAAGTGGCTTTAAAAGTGTCTTCCTCTATTATCTTTGGTCTGTTAAAGAGAAATGTAATACATCATATCTTTAACAGAAATAAGTATGTACAAATTATTTTAATCTATAAAAAATGAGGACGTTATTGCTCATTTTAAACAAAAGAAGGCTTCTGTCAGCGGGGGGTGCTAGAGTTGATGTTTCAAACTTTCAATCAGCAAGATACTTTGTTGAGTAGCAATATATGTTTTGCTTTAAATGATCATTAAGAGTTAAAATGCTTCACTGCAAGATGCAAGGTACTCACATTATATGCGTTTAGATTGGTTCCCTATAAGACTCGCTTTCACTTTGCAATTCTGTCTGCCATTCAACATGGTATAATCTCCTCGGAGATAAGTCTCAATTAACGTGTGGATCAAAAAGAGCAGTGTGTTGTGTGCGGTGTCTTTAACTCTTTTCGAACAATAGTAGCTCATAAAGTTGCTAGAAGTCCGTATTTGTATTTGTATATTGGTGATACTATCACACTGCAACTAGTCTAAGCAGCATTCGGAATTAATTAGAAAATAATATATGTATGAGTTCATTTATTGCTCTTTCCTAGATGTTCTGAAAAACATATACTATTGTTTCTTAAAGGTGACATGTCATGCTTTTCCGGTTATTACCCGTCCCCTTGTGTGTTATGAAGGTTTTTATGCATGTAAACGGTGTGCAGAGTCAAAACCCTCAAAGTACACCATGTCGCGAGTAAAACTCTAAAACAGAAAATACCTCCCCAAAACGCCTCGTTGGAGATACGTCACTGTCCATTTGATTCTTCCGGGTACATCATGATGTCATGTCGTCCCCCGGAACGAATCCGTGGAGCCGTTACGTTACGTCCGCGGAGCCGTTACGTTAAGCCCCCGCTGATTGGTCCAAATTAACCAATCCACGGACTTCCTCACACACTCAGTGCAAGCAGCTCTGCTGATTTCTCCTCCCGGGCTGCAGGCTGATAACAGACAGTTGGGATCGCGGCGAAATTCTCTCTGCAGACCCATTCTCACAGAGTTTATCAACCTTTTTCTTACTCAATATCAAGCCACACTTATTGTTTTTACTTCGGCTGTGACTTTGTGTGTGCTCAGGGTGAGTTTGGCTGTGTTTCGCTGTGTATCGCTAAACAAGGAAATAACACCTCCACGGAGCTCAGCGCGATTCACAACGTCCCGACTGGTCCCGACCAATCGGAGCACACTGGACTCACAGGGAGGGGGGGGGGCAAGAGCTGCAACGAGCCGTTTAGTGGAGAAAGTGAATACTGCTGAATACACATACTATACAGAGATGCTGTATGCGAAACCAATGTGAGTTTGGAACATTGAATAATGTAAAACTATTCTAGTAGACCTCAACAATGGAATTATGATCAGTGGAAATGGCCATGACATGTGACCTTTAAATAATTATAAAAACGTACCTGTCTGTAACAGTACCAGCTGTGGTGGTGAGGAAGGCCTCAGTAACCAGCACTGGAGTGTCTGTTAGCGGACTGTCCACTTCCAACGTTCTACTGCTGACAGTAGGGGGCACTATGGTCAGGCCCACGTCCCCGAGGTCCTCCCTGGTGTGGGCTGAAGCCCCCTCAGTGCCCTCCTGGTTCTGGGTGCTGGAGCTGTGCCCCACGCTGGAGGACTCAGTGGAGGCTGTCACACTGAAGCCCCGCCCCTGCTCTGTCCAGGAGACGTTTACAGGACCTCCTGCAGGCGAGGTGACGGATGGTGAGGAGGACACGGACACTTCAGATCTCTCAGTGCTGAGCTCCGTCACTCTGAGAGGCGGAGTCGAGTCGGAGGTCTCCTCTGATGTGGCGGTGTATCGAGGGTCGGTAACATTAGGTTGTCCGGTTAAACTCTGGGTCCCTCCTGAACTCCCGGTCTCTGGAAATCCCGCCTTAAATGAGCTGGTACTGTGTTGTAGGTCTGTTGTGTCCCCGCTGTCAGTCCTGGTGGACAGGGCGCTGCGGGTGTAGTCCTCAGTGTCTGTAGCCTGATGGGAGTTGGAGTCCTCTGTAAAGGCGGAGGAGGTGTGGTTGCTGGAAGAGGAGGTGACGGACAGCAGGGTCCTCTCCCCAGCGCGGCTGATGTCGGTGGAGGTGTAGGTGCTGTCGGTGTGGACGGCTGTGTGGGACGTCCAAGCATCTCCTTGTCTGAGGGTGGTGTCCGGGCTGTCCTGAGGGAGTCTGGCCTCATCTGTCATCATCTGGGAAGAAGCCTCCCAGGACACAGCGGGGGAGGCGCCTGTCACCCGGTCTGTCAGGGTGGAGTCCTTCCAGTCCCTGCTGCTGCTGCCGCCGCTGCCGGTGCTGCTGGTGCTGCTGCTGCCGCCGCCGCTGGTGCCGCTGCCGTTGGTGCCGCCGCCGCTACTGCTGCTACCGCCGCTGTTGGTGCCGCCGTTAGTGCTGCTGCTGCCGCCGCTGCCGCTACTGCCACCGCTACTGCCGCTGCTACCGCCGCTGCTGGTGCCGCCGCCGCTGCCGTTGGTGCCGCCGCCGCCGCTACTGCTGCTACCGCCGCTGCTGGTGCTACTGCTGCTGCTACCGCCGCTGTTGGTGCCGCCGTTGGTGCTGCTGGTGCTGCTGCCGCTGGTGCCGCCGCTACTACCGCCGCTGCTGGTGCTGCTGCCGCTGCTGGTGCTGCTGCCGCTGCTGGTGCCGCCGCCGCTACTGCTGCTACCGCCGCTGTTGGTGCCGCCGTTGGTGCTGCTGCTGCTGCTACCGCCGCCGCTGGTGCCGCTACTGCTGCTACCGCCGCTGCTGGTGACGCCGTTGGTGCCGCCGTTGGTGCTGCTGCCGCCGCTGCTACCGCCGCTGCTGCCGTTGGTGCCGCCGCCGTTGGTGCCGCCGCCGCTACTGCTGCCGCTACTGCTGCTACCGCCGCTGCTGGTGCTACTGCTGCTGCTACCGCCGCTGTTGGTGCCGCCGTTGGTGCTGCTGCTGCCGCCGCCTGCCGGTGCTTGGCTACCGTCGCGCTGCTACCGCCGCTGCTGGTACTGCTGCGGCTGCTGCTGGTGCCGCCGCTGCTGGTGCCGCCGCTGTTGGTGCCGCCGCCGCTGTTGGTGCCGCCGTTGGTGCTGGTGCTGCTGCCGCCGCCGCTACTGCTGCTACCGCCGCCGCTGGTGCCGCCGTTGGTGCTGCTGCTGGTGCTACTGCTGCTGCTACCGCCGCTGCTGGTGCCGCCGCCGCCGCTACTGCTGCTACCGCCGCTGTTGGTGCCGCCGTTGGTGCTGCTGCTGCCGGTGCTACTGCTGCTGGTGCCGCCGCTGCTACCGCCGCTGCTACCGCCGCTGCTGGTGCTGCTGCCGCTGCTGGTGCCGCCGCCGCTACTGCTGCTACCACCGCTGTTGGTGCCGCCGTTGGTGCTGCTGCTGCTGCTACCGCCGCCGCTACTGCTGCTACCGCCGCTGCTGGTGCCGCCGCCGCTACTGCTGCTACCACCGCTGTTGGTGCCGCCGTTGGTGCTGCTGCTGCTGCTACCGCCGCCGCTACTGCTGCTACCGCCGCCGCTACTGCTGCTACCGCCGCTGCTGGTGCCGCCATTGGTGCTGCTGCTGCCGCTGCTGCTGGTGCTACTGCTGCTGCTACCGCCGCTGCTGGTGCCGCCGCCGCTACTGCTGCTACCGCCGCTGTTGGTGCCGCCGTTGGTGCTGCTGCTGCCGGTGCTACTGCTGCCGCCGCTGCTACCGCCGCTGCTACCGCCGCCGCTGGTGCCGCCGCTGCTACTGCTGCTACCGCCGCTGCTGGTGCCGCCGTTGGTGCTGCTGCTGCCGCTGCTGGTGCTGCCGCTGCTGCTGCTGTTGCTGCCGGTGCTGCCGCCCCCGCTTCTGCTGCTGCCGCCACCGCTGGTGCTGGCCTCAGTGGAGGCGACAACAAGGGTGGAGGAGAGTGGCCCAGTAGACAGACTCACGGCCTCTAATGACATGCTGCTTGTTTCAGTGAAGGTCTGTGTCTGCTCAGTGTCTGTGGAAAAAGAAAAAAAGTATTAACAATATATTTTATTTGTTGTAAATATACACCCCCCTCCTCCTGGCAATAATTCAGTACCAAACAGTACAATCGCATTATTCTTCCTCTTTATTTATTATTAATGTACTCTGTAAACTGTAACTCAATGGGTTATGGGGGTGGGTTGGAGAGAGGAGGGATGGAAATGGAGATTTTGAACCGAATGGACAAAATGAGAAAATCAAGTATTATCAATATTAACAATATTCAGGCCCAGCTGATCAACTGCTCCTGAATGTGCCCAGAACCAGGTCTAAGCTCAGAGGGGACTGTTCTTTCTCTGTAGCGGCTCCCACACTGTGGAATAATCTGCCCATGTATATCAGACAGGCCGCCACACTGTCTGTTTTTAAATCGCTTCTGAAAACCCACCTCTTCTCCTTAGTGTATTGACATCTTGTAGTTGCTTTTATTGCTTATAAATTGTCTATTGTTTTTACTTGTACTTGTTTTAAAGTGCTTTATAAATAAAGCTGTAATGTATTGTATTGTATCTGGCTGTTTCCTGCACTTTCAATCACCAACTGTACACATTGCAACTCACTTTCAGCTGTGGCCACCAGAGGGTGCTCACCAGACTGCAGAAAGGGGGAAGATGCTGTCAGAAGAGCTGTTGTTTGCTGCAGCAGCAATGATTTTGGGTGGAGAACAACTGGCAGCCAGGCTTGTCTGCTTTAACAAAGGTTTGAGGTCCTAAATATGGCGGTAACTGTCTCCTCTGGGAATCAACCGTTTCCTTCCTAAAGCTGAGTGAGCACAAGGCTCTGGAAGAAAACTGTCACCATGAGCATGGGTGTGTTTCATACTCAGTGGCTGTGGAGTTTGTTTTTAGACCGGCTTTAAGATGTTGTTTAGTGACAAAATAAACCACCCAAACATCATCAGAAGTGTCAAAACGAATGTTGCAATAGAAAATAGATTGTTTTTAGATATATATTTTTAACTGATTCCTTTTGGCAGTTGAGATAAACAAGAAAAACACGTAGAAATAAAGGATGATAATGAAAATACAAGATGAGTTATAACTCATTTATGAAAATAACTAGAGGGGACCTGCAGAGTTGGATAATAATGATCTGTGGGTTCATCTCCATATATTACATACTTCTCAAACAAGTGCATTACTACTATGTACTACTTGCAGTTTGTAGTAAGGTCTTTGCAAAGAACGCATGTGTAGTAGGTAGGTAGAGAGCAAATGAGTGGATAAATGGATTATACAGCACAAGTTGTTTGAGTGTGTAAACATATGTTTTGACAAAGCTTTGCTGTTACTAAAAGTGGCTCCCATATAATTCAATACATCGTGACTTAATGTATACGGTTTTAGGATCCTTTGCTTACTGAGGAGACATGCAGGAAGTTTTCTTCGAGAACTCAAGGTATGGGTGAATAATTAATATACAAATGACCAGGTTGTAGGAAAAGTATTATTTCAAAGTTTCAAGTGTATGTGAGAGGAAAGAAAACCTCTCACATAGGTCTGCTGGGTACAAAGTGTGTGTGTGCGCGTGTGTTGTGTCTCTGCCCATCACTGAGGCTGTGCTGTCTGACAGCCTGTTATCTGGCCAGTCTCCAGCAGCCCAGGACTGGAGCAACAGCGCTCTGAGGACGAGTGTCGGTGCTGGACGGCATCCTGACAGCCAACACGTCGCAGCCAGCGTCCAAAACCAAAGGAGGGGAGAGTTCAACTGCAGAACAGCCCCTCCACTGGGAGTCTGGGAGCAGAACTGGGCCACTTTTTTTTCCTTTCTCACTTCCTCTGCATGTGTCCCTCTCATTATTTCATTTTCTCTCACTGGATCCAGTCAGGGCAACACACCTCAGACTGGAACGTGGTTCTGGCAACAATCGAGGGACCCTCCCAGATTCTCTGCTGGTTATCACTCAGCTATTGACTGTTAACACTGCTGTCAGTGTCACTCTTCACAACTGTTATACCAGAAGCTCTGCAGCTAGCATATTCATTTAGGCAGTAGGGTAAGCATATTAATGAGGATGGATGCTGGTATGACCTAGCAGTGTTTTGAATGTATACTGGTTGTGTTTTTGGCTTATCACCAGATGTCTGTGACCCGAAGCCCTGGTACGTGACAGGAAAGGTGAAACTGCGTGACATCAGGGAGAGGAAAGTGAATCATTTCCACTTTATCATTCAAACCAACTCTTTGCCTTTGATAAAAACATTTGACCCTCCCATTGCATTCTGTGCAGCTCCAAACGCTTCATGATGTGCTTCATAATATTCTTGATAAAGTCAGTGTTGTCTATACATCTCAGTTGCATCAGTGTATGCAGTATATTTTGGCTTCACTTTTGGTTTAAATGAAGAAGCCAGTGACACAATATACCATAGTAATCTCCCTTATATAAATACATGTAATTACAAATATCTAGCATCAGATAAACATACTAGTGCAGAATGCTGTGGGGAGGTAATGGTATAATGTTGTGTGACCACTTGTGTGGCAAATTGTAGCATTAGAAGTAGGACAGTATTCATGATAATATGTGGTGGCGTGGACTTGCTATATGAAGCAAGGCCCCCGACCAATTCGATCCTTGGGGCCCTTTGTTGCCATTCACACCTGTACTGTCTCTCCCCCATTTTCTACATAAATGTGTAAATGGCCAAAAATAAGTCTTAAAAAAAGATTGAAATTGCATTTGTGTTTAAAAAACTATAAAAGCAACCGTAGATTTGAAGAGCAAAACTGTAATCAAGGTGCATTAAGCTATCCTAAATGCTGCACATGTACACATTGATTTTCAAATAGATATACATTTAAACAATTACCAAAAAAGGACACTTTGGTTTTCCTTATTACTCATTGTGCTATCTTTATATAGTTTGTTTAATGTTATTGTTAAAAAGGTATTCTTTATTTATATATATTTAATATATATGTATATGTTCTCTGTGTGTTGTGGAGAGAGCGATAACAACATTTCATTTTGCACTGAACTGTTTGTTGGATTATGTCAATTGGCTTCAGGCACTTTTAGATATATCCCTTTTTCTGAAAATGTGTCAAGAAAGTATTGAATCAATTTACTGAGAACATAATAATCATACATATTTAATGAAAATATTGAAAAAATTACAGCTCTATTATACAGAAGCAAACGAACATTACACCTGTTTCATTAGACTGTGTCTAGGATGCAAATCTGTTGAATTCAATATGGGCATGCAGTCTGTGCAAGAGACACATTACAGTTTTTTTCTTTGCATTCACATTTCAGTTACTCCACAAAAACAGGATTTAATTCGAACTTTTTACTTTGAAAGTTGTAAGATAATTGTCTATCCCACACAAATTATTGATAGCCCATCTCTAAGTGCTATAATGCTAGCATCATTAATGAGATGTCTTATTCCTATTGTAGCCCATACTCCTAATGCTCA